CACCCCCCGCCCCTACCTGGCTACGCCCATGGTTATAATCCCTAGACGCGGCCGAAGGCAGAAGCAAGCGCAACAGATGGTGGATTTAAAAAAATGCATATTTTCAATGGCTTGGAATAAGCTGTTATTGCGTTAACTGGATTGAGAATCAGTTCTTCAGGAATAGGAGGAATTCTGGCTTGTGGTTCAACAATCCAACCAGAAGCAGATATAGATGCGCCCATAGTTACTATGCGCGACATCTCCGCATATCTTAGTGAATTCATTTCTATAGCGCGCTCTTACTCCGCTGCTATAATTGAAAATGGGCCATTCCATTGTGTCATCAATTGTGAATTTTAACTATCGAAACCTATAAACGGCGAAAGATATTATTTAACATGGAACGATAACTAATGTATAAAATTGTTTTAACAAAAATACCAAACGATTTCTCAATTTCATTTGAATGAATGTGACTATTGGCACACTGAAAAGAATTCTATCTTACCCTTGTGCACTCAATGATGAATTTTAGCCAAATAACTTAATTTTCACGAACGATGTATTTGTGTTGTGAAATACGAGCTATGCGCTTTCGTCTTCAATAAAAATTAGGCTGATATAATCTTCAGAGGAATATTAAAAAATATTTAAATTTGGGATTGGTGGAATATGTCCTTGTGAATGGTGTAAAGTAATTATGAATGAAGTAAAAGTTTCCATAGACAAAAATTACAATTTCTTTTGATTTTTTTAATATTTGCCCACAGCTTAATGAAATGTAGTCATTTAGAAAGAAGTTACTACTGAAATAGAGATAATTAGGGCATATTTAAATTTATGTCATTTTCCTCTTTTCAATGGAATGACCCAAATGCAACAGAATCCATCGTTTCCTACAAAACATATAAAACAAACAATTTTATTATAAACATTTAAGCACTTGATGCGTGTTTTTTTAATTCCTTTCCACTAAATATGCGCTATTAACATGCATATGTTACATATGTATATACATACATATACATATGTATATTTACGGCTACATTATTGTAAATAACTTAACTCAAATCCATGTTTTCTCGCTTTAAATAAAAAAACGCAGTACCATTACCCTAATTCTAGAACCCGAATTTTTGTAACTCGTAATTCGTAATTATTCAGCTGTCCTCGAAAAACAACTGATAGCTGGAAATGCTGCACATGTTTCCGCAAGGGTTGCAACATCTGGATTTTTCGTTTTTCGTAGCGATCTTTATTTAAAGCGAGAAGACGTGGATTTGAGTTAAGTTATTTGTCGGCCGCTGTGGTGTAGTGGTAAGCAGTGCGCGCTTTCACTCATAAGCACCTGCGTTCAAGCCCCGGTCAAAGCAACATCGCAAAAAATATAGAAAAAGGTTTTTTCTTAACAGCGGTCGCCCCTCGGCAGGCAATGGCAAACCTCCGAGTGTATTTCTGCCATGAAAAATAGCTTCTCACAAAAATACAATCGCCGTTCGGAATCAGCGTAAAACTGTAGGTCCCTTCCCTTTGTGTGACAACATCAAGGCGCACGCCACAAATAGGAGGAAAAGCTCGGCCAAACACTAACTTATGTGTAAGCGCCAATCTATTATTATTATTATATGTATGTATGTACATATGTATGTTAATAGCACATATTTAATGGGCTTTATATATGCTAACCAAATAGTTGTCAAGTAGGTAATAGTTAATTTAAAATAAGTAGAATAAGGATATTAATTAGCACACTACAAGTCAACTTATAAATAGCGAGTTTGTAGTTAGACGAAAACAAACTAATCTCTTTTACGACATAGTCATGTGTAAAGATTAATAACACTGTGCGACACTAAAAAATGCCTGGGAAGTTATGTATATTTTCTGGTAGATCTTTTCGAGTAAAGCAAGAAACGAAATATGAAATTTGCCAAACACCCCCAAAATCTTGATTTACCGTTAAAACCCCAGTTTTCGTACTATTGCGGACTTACATATCGTCGTTTAAAGTACAAAGCCGTGTATCAACACAATGCAAAACCTCGTATGTGAGGTTGAATAAATTATTTTCTAGAGAGTAAAAACACTCATATTTCAAAATGGTTCTCTTTTTTATAAAGCAGTCGTATTTCTGGCTAGTATATTTTAGGACGAATGGATAAGGATTGAGCCAAGATCTTATGTGAGCAAATCCAATTTTTATCAGCCAATGTCAGTTACGCGGTTTTGCAGAATGACGATATGCGGTTTTGTACTTTAAACGGCGATATAAGCCTGTAACTTAGTTCATTATGACCCGAGTTTCGGTTTATTGCCAGGTTTAAAAAGAAGACACTTGGGCCTTTCCAATGATATATATGTGAATAAAGTAACCTTAAGAGATATGTGTGTATTTACCCAGCAAACACATTTTTTTTTANCCTATACTTGCATGAAAAATAAATTAGGGTTGGATGCTACAGGCAGGCTTAAGGTTATTTGACAAGTTGATCCAATGGTAAAACTTCTTTTGAAGAGGGAGCTCACCAGGATATCTGGCAATGCTTGAGGAATCGTGGTAAGCAAGCCCTGGTCAAAAGCAACATCGCAAAAAAAATATAGAAAAAAGGGGGTTTCTTAACAGCGTTCGTCCCTCGGCGGACAATGGCAAACCTCTGAGTGTAGTTCTGCCATTAAAAACAGCTTAATAAAAATACAATCGCCGTTCGGAGTCGGCGTAAAACTGTAGGTCCCTCCGCTTTGTGTGACAACATCAAGGCGCACGCCACAAGGAAATTGCCCTCGCCGAGTCGGTCGAGAAATCCGAGTAACGGTTTTGGGCAAAAATTTTACCTGTGCAATGATTTGGACTTATGTATGTAGTTAGAAAAATTAGTTAAAAAAGATATAAGTACGTATTTAGTTCAATTAAGAAAGTGGTTTAGCTGCATATGTACATATGTATGTATGTATGTATAGCAAAAGTTACCCATATATACGTATGTGTTTACTAGTTAATAAGACAGTTGGTTAAAAAAACTGTTAACGAGCTTCTTCCTAGATATCTATATTATCATTCTCACCATCGACAGCATCGCTGCCTTTGGCGGCTTAATAGCTTTATAGCCCACCAATGCAGACAGCGCCGTTACAAGGCCCACCATTAATCCAAGTAAGCAATATATTAAATGCGTATTTTGTACCGAGTTCATGAAAAGCGCACAAATTAATGCCATAATCAGTCCAACGATCTGTAAATATTTTTGGACAAGAATTAAGCAGCAAAACCAAACATAAAAAAATAAATAGTTACAACAGCTAATTTCGCAGGAAATTTAAAATGGGTGTAAATCTAAGAACGCACGCAATAGTTACGCACTTACCAAGCAAAGTGTGTTGGCACACAAAAAAATGTGTCTGAGTAATGGCGTCGAACAAAGCATCTTTATTACGATGTTGTTTATTTACTACGTATCTACTGTTTCAAAATAGTTTCTGATTACGAGTAGTATTATTTTTTTTTTACTCAGATACTTGTTTGCTAATTGCACACTTTTAGATTGGACTAAACATATTTCTTTTATTGTTCTTGTTTTTTGTATAACTTTTAATTCAAACTAGTAAATTTATTATCTCCCATAACTTTTATTCTTTCCGTAACTGATGATTTCACGCCCGTCTGCAGACATAAAAGTCAAACCATTATGCCGTCAGAAGTCACCGAGTTTGGCCGCTGCAAAACGCCCAGATCAACTAAAATACTTCTCGAAATCCCCTGATACACATGTGCATTATGTACATACTTATGTATGTATACATATACGTTAGCATAATGCGCACTATGCACTTCGAAGATTACCTACATGCGGCATAAATGGCTTACACAAATATGCGAGCATGCTATTTTTTTTACGGCTCTTTAACTTTGAACGAGATTCTTCAATTTCGGCCGCGGGAGTTGAAGAATTCCCAGCCAGCAAAGAAACGTACGTTTTGCCGGCAGTGGGATCTAAGTGATCTATCATCTCTGCTTATCTTCTTTAGATCAGCGACTTCATATGTCTTTAAAGAAGATACGTACCCGGCTCGCATCAGCTATTTGTTATCAATAAGGACTGAAAGAGTTAATACAATAATAAATAGTTCCAAGTTTGTAGGATCAGATCCGATAAAAACCATCCTTTGTTTTATTATTAAATCGATATTAACATTTTACCGCATTTTAAAGTCCATATAGTAGAACCTACATACAAAGAAGCCAGACGTTAACAATGACTCATTAGTTCAGTTGATTATTTTATTGTATACCTACTCTTAATATGTATGTACATATGTATATACCTCATACATATATTTGCATTGTTATCGGTTGTTACCAGTCATTCATTGTAATTTCAGCGCGTCACCGAGAGACCAGCTGTGCAGCTATTAGTTGTGTTTGTTTACAAATTATCCAGTAACTTGCCAGCAACTCTCCAGTAACTTTATTTCTAAGAATTCGCTCTCATAGAAAAAATTTACAAAAAAGTACGCGAACGCTATTCCAGTAATAATTTGCAAGTTTCATGAACAGCTGATAAATTGGTTGTTTATTCGCAGCATATTCCTAATAAAACAACATATTTTATATTGAAATATGTTTATTTTGTGAATTTTTATAATAAAAACCCACAAGCAGTTTCCTTATTAGTTTAATTTTCGTACTGGCAAATTCTTACAAGTAAAAATTTATCCAGTAAAATCCAGTAAAAACTTGCAACTTCAACTGTAATTTTTCGCTCTCTCAATTTCCCCTACTTTGCAAGTTTTTGCGTACGAAAACGCCAAAACATGAAAATTCGTAAACACTTTTACTGGATTTTACTGGAAATGAGTACACAAACGCAACTATTGTTTAAATACGTCAAACTAAAAGTTTATATTTTGAATTTTGATAAGCTTACTCAAGCTATAAAATATTTAAATAAGAACATACAGTAGTATACACATGTAAGTATATACAAACTATTTCATTAATTGGTGCCATGAAGTTAAAGTGTTAGGCGTGCGAAAAAAAAAATCAAAAAAGAGGGGAGGACTTTGGCATTGGCTTATGTTCATATGGCAACCGTTCTTCAAAAATCATTTAACTTAAAATTTATTACTTTTGATATTATCGAGGGCTTATAGTCAATACCCTCTATCTGCACTTTTCCCAAAAATGATATTCTGATATAAAAACCTACCTAAGACTTAATTGTCATCGGTGTTATTAGTTTAAGTTGAAACCACTAAAGAGTTGAAACCTCCTCGCACTTGGGCAAAGAATAGTATCGCCTTGATACCATATGGAATCTCTTTCGATGTCATGAGCTTTACCAATGGTCGTATTTCTACCTGTAAGATCTCTGCCAAGCATGCGTATCCTTTTTCTATGATCTTGCAACTACAACATTTTTCCGATGCGTAAGTCAATAAAAGTCCTTATAAGGAAACTCAAGGGCACATATATGCGTTTTCTGTTATAGCAGGGCCAAGAATCTTCGCTGTCCCAGAGGATGAAATGTTTTCCCGTACATTGGTAAATGAGTCGTGTGTTCTCTTAAATATCGTTCAAATGAAGCAATTGATATACATGCCGTGATCTTTCCTTTTAAATTCGTCACTTTTACAATCTATTTATTAATACGCTAACATAAATTTGTCTCCGTTCGTTTCGCGATTCTACCGAACCAATTTCCAAACCGAGAACATCTTTCGAAAGGTATTTTTCTGTAGATGAGGAAAGTTTCTATGGTTTCAAAATTGGTTGAAAATTACGGTCAAAATCGTCGTTTGAAAATTTCCGTATTTATATATACATAGTTGTTGTTGCAACCTGTTCAATTTGAGTTGTTTTATCATTTTGTTTTACTTCGTATATGAAACTAAACTTTGTAGTAAAGATAAATGTGATGATGAGAAAGAAATGATAATGATTAAGACAAAAAAGTAAAGGAGATAATTAAGATAATGACGAAAATTAAAACAATAGGAAATACATAAGGATTAGAGTAACTGAAAAGGTAAGAAAATTTAACTATTGAATTTTTGAAGTGAAACTTCTTTAGCGGCGGTTGGTTGGTTGGGTGTAAATTGGAAAATTCAACGGAAATGATGCATACGGAAATGGTTGGGACGGAAATGATTGCAACGGAAACAAGTGATTCTTATACTATACATGCATATGACATTAATTTAACAAAAACGTGCAAATAAGCGGTTTAAAAATAAGATTTAGATTAAGATCAACACAAGAATGATCACGGCATCACTTTTCATCTTCATATTCACCTAGATGAAGGAAAAGGATAAAAGCAGACATAAATTTGAACACTTTACTTTTCTAAGGACAAAGGAGAAAGAGGGTGAATATGTATGTATGTATATGAAAGATTAAAGATATAAATTCCAGGATAAAGGAAAGAATAAAAATAAAGGCAAAGGAAAACAGATAAATGTAATTATGACAAAAAGGGTATAGGTAGGGATAAATATAGAAAAAAGATAAAATATAACCTTTAGCTTATAACATATTAACTAGCCTGTTGTTAATCGAAGTTTTTGAAATTTTCAAAATATATTGAGTTACCGAAATTTCAAGGTTATGTAAGTTTATTGAGTTATCACTGCTTATCGAATTTTATCATGCTACCAGAGAAATTAATCGATAGCTTTCGCAAAATATGTAGCTATCAAAATTAACCGAGGTATCGAAATTTATAGAATTTATATACATTTTGGAATTATACAAATTTATGAAGTTGAGTTAAGGGATTTTAGGTTTTTTGAAATTTATTGAGTTATCGATATATATCAAATTATCGAAAATATCCAAACTTGAATGTATCGGGTATATTCCAAGTCCTGCCAAAGATATAAAAAATTGAAGTCACGTTTAAGTTCCAAAGCAGGACATTTTCCGGTAAGCAATTTTGTATGTTATAAGTAAAATAACAGAAGAACGTCGAATTTAGACAGTACGTGTTAATATTTATCAATTGGTTTCTAGGTAGATGCAAGATCGCATTTAGGGTGCATGAGGGCGTCAGGCAAAGGTGCGCTTACACAATTTTGCGATCTTTCTATGCATACTTAACCCCATCCTTCATTTAGCCACCTGAAAACTAAATTCGTATAACTTAAATATAGGGCCAAAGCAGATCAAACACGCCATCCATTGGGTCCAGTTTCTGCAAAACCTGCTTATCATAAAATGAAAATGTATTATGAGGTTCAACCAGATTGTATAAAAAGTACGGATTTTCAAAACCTCGACTATAGCGCCACCCAGAATTTTTCATCATACAGGTACATAGCTAACATTTAAATTTTGAACAAAATCGGTTAATAAATGCGACTTATATATAACCTTACTGCCTAGCGAGATTTCTAGTAGCATATAATAGGACTATATATGCAAGATATAACCTCCGACAATTTGACGGGACTCTATCTCGCTTTTGAGTATAGCCCTAAAAAACCGCTATCATTTTATACATATATTTAGGTATGCAGATAGGACCGTCTATAACAAAACTTCTAAAAATCAAAGCTCCAAACTTTGTGCAAAATTAAAAAAAAGGTTATCTTTTACTAGAAATTAAAAACAAAGTTCAATTTGATTTAGAAATGTAGGGGAAAATGGCTCCCAATCAAATAATACTTAACCGTTTATGTAAATGTTGATTTGCTTGACCTTATTTTGTCGGTCCAAACAGGAATCTCGATTTACCGACCTTGAATCATACCTGGATACCACCATCGGTGGATCCTCCTCATGTTTCTTTGGTTGGTCCGTCACCCTTACAAACTCAAATGACCAATACCTACCGTGGTGTTAGAACGTCTCATACTCAAGAACCAATTAATGAACCATCTCATTTATATCCGAATTATTCGCTATCCGGTCCACCGCAATCACGACCAAATCAAGCCACTATATTCGACGAATCTGCCCAAGCGGATGCAATGGATAGGAAATTTAGAGGCTTACCATCATGGATGGGACGTGCTCAATTCGATGGCGTTCACGTAAACGAAAAATTTCTATCGGTTGAAGATTATTTGGCTATTATTGGCTCATTTCGATATAAGATCGGGGTACCCGACCATGAATTGGTTACGCGTTTGGTACCCACACTCACGGGGGCCGCTCGACAATGGTATTTCACCGAACTGAGAAAGTTCGGAGATTATCAGGATTTTTGCACAAAACTTCGTGCTCGTTTCCTCAACAAACATACTCGGGCTCAAGTAATAATGTCATATGCGCAGATTAAATTCGACCCACGGTCGCAAACACTGTTGAAACATATCGATGACTTGACATTCCAATTGCAGGGTAATGCCTGTGGCCTGGATGAACGGGATCACCTCGATATCATCATCGGTACCTTATCCGATCATCTTCGTGAACTCGTCCACACTCGACAAGTCCACACGTTAGAACAATTGCGGGAGTTCGCTCAGCGAATTGCACCGCATTCGTTCATTGTTGCCACATCCCGTCCGGAAAGAACCCGTTCGGATAGACAGCGATCAGAACCACGGGAAATTTCGGCACTACATGATTCGCCGGATGATTCTTCACATTCGGAATATACCGCTTCGTTCCCTGGATCCGACTCAGATGACAGGGAATGTGCATACGTGGGCAAGCATAAGAAACCCTTTAAACCATCTCAGAAACGTACGGATTCGAAACCAGTCGGTGATTATAAAAATGACACAAATCGAAATGAGAATGACACGAAAGCAGGAACCATCGTCGACCCATTTCTCACTGTTGAGGGGGACGAAAATTTACGATGTGCAAAATGTCTCATGTGGGGTCATCACTTCAAAAGGTGTCGAACCCAACCGAATCGGGTGATATGCTACAAATGTACACGACCGGGAGTGACGTCGGACCAATGCCCGTGTTCAAAAAACGCATAAGTGAGTCGATTGGGAATAGTGGCCCATCGTACTCAGAATCCATAACTTTTTCTAAATCCACTGTCTCTAATAATCCTCATTCTACCGAAGTCCCTCTACAAATCGACACATCTTCAGTCCCGAATTCCAGTAATAATTCTACTCTGATTCTTAACGAATATAATCAAACTCAAAGGGATGGCAAAGAACCATC